AAAAAAAAAAAAAAAGCAGAACAGCTCTGAGGAGTAATGTGTCCTCTGCTGATGTGGGCAGCAGTATGTGGAGAGAGCAACGTTGGCAGTTCGTTCTCTGTATTCTGTTCTCAGATTAAAAACGTGGTCCAGTGGCAGAGGGGATCTGGGTGTTGACAGTGTCTGACTCACGTCTCGCTGCTCCAGTCCAGACTGGTCTCCTCCCAGAGCTGACGCGCTTGTGCCACTCTGGGGCCCCTCCTCACCCTGCTCCTGGGGCTCCCTTTGTCTCCTGCTTTTGCCTGTACCCCACATCATCTTTCTTGGTTTTACATTCTTTTCTTTATTCAAAAGGTAGAATGTATGCTACATATATGCAGACCTTTCTGCTTTTTGCCTTTCTACTTAATGTGTTCTTTCTATATCAGAAGATAAGCAGATAATATCAAATTGCCTGCCAGATGTAGGGAGGGCTGTACAATTTTCACTTCTACCAGCAACAAGCTATATAAAAAAATCTGTTTCCACCTAGCCTCATCGGAAGATCATTTCATTTGATTTTTAAATTTTTTACCAATCTGAAAGAAAAATAGTATCTCAAGGTAATTTTTGCTTGCATTTCTATTTTTGAAAACTGAGCTTTTCATGTGTTCTTTTTTGCCCTTTTTTTTTTTTCTGCTTTCTGGTCTTCTGCTTGTTTCTGTAGAGAATGTTTCCAAACCTATGTGTTTGGATTTTGCCTGTCTGGTGACAATGTTTTCATCTAAATAAAGTTAAAATTTGTTTTTGCTTTTAATAACTTTTTAGGTTTCTGGATATAGAGTTACAGCTAAAAAGACATCCTACTGCAAGGTTATAAAGGAATCTCCTCATACTTTATTAGAGTACATTTATGATTCACTTTTAGTTTAAAAATCTTGATCCAGGCTCGGCACATGTGGCTCAAGTGGCTAAGGTGCCAGCCACATACACCTAAGGTGGTGGGTTTGAATCCAGCCCAGGCCCGCCAAACAACAATGATGGTTGCAGCCAAAAAATAGCCAGGTGTTGTGGCAGGC